CCCTCTCTCTCTCTCTTTTAAATTACTTGAATTAAAAACCTTATCGGTCATTTCAAAACCTTTTTGCTCTTTACTGCGAAAAACTTTGTCAAATATTGTGGGGGGTTGTCCCACTCAGAACACTTTTCATACTACTTATTACACAGCTCAAAACATTGCAGTCCGGGCTGAAAAACTCATTTCAGCTATATTAAAGATTACATGTGATACAAACACTTGCATTGTCATGTAGCACAAAGTTTTGCGTACTCGGGCTAAGAGTAATTCCAAATTGAATTTTTCAAATTTTGCTATAATGACCTATTACACGTTGATTGCATCAATTCTTCCTTATCTATGGTTATCAGCACGAACTCTTCATTGTTAATAAAGTCATTTTGTATCTACAAAGGCTTTCAAGGGCTTTTCCATGTGCAAATGTTCAATCAAAGAATTGTTTGCTTACTTTAATATTGTGTATGGTCACAAGATTCTGTGAATACAAGAAGACTTTATCTCATTTTAGTTTTTGTTGTAAATTTTATTCCGACACATTTGACTTTGTAATGAAAGCTTCAAGTTTATCCTCTTGGACAAATGTTGAGTTTATTGTCTTTGCCCTGATTTGTTGTAATCGATCCTTTTTCCAAGAAAATTAGCACAGGTTTAACAACAAAGTTTCCATTCCTCCTCAAATGTGCGATTTTCTCCGGAGAGTTCAAGAATTCTTTGACACACTTTCGCACTTCACGACCTACGTGCTTGACAATAATGCAGGAGTCAGCTATAGACAGTGCTATAATATACCCTAAGATTGCCTTATTACATTCAGTGCTAATATTTTAGTTAGTATCTCCGGATTGTCCATTTAATTTACTAATTCAAAGGACTTCATCTATACAGTAGTTCTTAAGGAAAAAAGAATTTTTTTGCAATCAGGAAATGTTTTCAACTAAACCTCATCACAGAGCCGATTTCACGATTGAAGTACACTTTGGCTATTTGTCGGTTCGTCTCTTCCTAAAGTGACGAAATTTCTTCTCATCTTCTGGTACCGAAAACAGTCCATATTCACTTAAGAAGAGAGGCCACTGTCAATTTTTCACACAAAAATAATTGTTTTCATTTTCTTAGCAGATGCTTTGTATCTCGTAGAAAAATAATTCACTACTTTAACGAAATTTTTTCATATTCAAAACTTTTAGTTTTTTCTTTCCTTTAGTCCTTCGTAAGTCAAAGAGGAAATGAACACTTGGTCATGAAATTTTTGATATTGATAAGGAGTTCTGCTAATAAACTTAACATTTTTTCGGCGCTTTCCATATAAGTTTGCTACACGTAAAGCGTAAGACGTACGAATCCGTCCGTGGCCGATCCAGCGAACTAGACACAAAGAGGAATAACTATTGAAAATAAAAGGACGTGTTATAGTCCGACAATTGCGAACTACAAGGAGTCAATATTTTCACTTTCCCGACGAGGGCAATGTCAACAACACACAGATGCACAGACGGACTGACATGGCTTAATCTGTTCAGAATTTTGCGTTGATTATGAATGCGACCAGGAGAGTGCCAACAAAAAACACAACACAGACGCACAGACGGACAGACATAGCTGAATCAATTCAGAATTTAACGCCGATCAAGAATACTTTTTGCGTGTTGCAAACATTATGGCAAAAGGAATATACCTCCGTCCTTCGGTGATGAGAATACAAATTTCTTTTGATAAGACAACCTGTCCATATATAAATGCTTTAAATGCTTTTCATTCTAAAAATTTTGCATAAATCAAGCATTTTTAATTTTTTTGAACTTAATATACGACTGATGATCACGTTAAGTATTATTATTCTGTTACTTTTGTTCAGGCTGCTACAGTGGCCGCACCTTAAAAGTTATGTCTTTACTTATCTCGAAATCTCCAAATTTGTTCTTAATTTGCACGTTGATGATGTTGTTACCGTAAAAACATTAAAAAGCATCAAGAATTGTTATGCTCTGTTATTATATTTTCCAGATTTTAGAAATTCAGCAAACATAGCTACATATTTTATAGGTATAATTAGTCTATCATCGAAGAATGTTTTCATTTTATTTTTTCCGAACCGTTTGCAAGAGCCGGAAGGAAAATTGAGAAACCCCATAAAGTATATGCACTCTTGATTAGTATTAACTTGTGGAAGGATCTAGGCAAGTATACCCGTCCATGGGTCTGTTTGCGCATCTGTTTATGGTAAACATCATGAGTGTACAAATTTGATCAAAATATTGAAAGTTCCTATATGTGGATTGAAATTGAAGATGACGGGTATGTCCACAAGGCATGATAAACTGCGGGGAGAAAAAAAGGGCTTTTAATTCACTACTGGTCGCCAATAGCTAATACAACTTGTGCTTAGATATACTACTAGGGTGCTAAGAAGAAAATATCGGAGGAGACTTTTCTTCTTTCAAAAACTGTTTTGCACACGCATACACAATGGCAATAGGTTTTCGACATATATATCTATATATTTTCTATTTATTGAATTGACCCTAATTCCTTAAATGTATGAATTAAAACTTAAATGCAAAAATACTGCAAATGCTGTCTTATACATGCACATGCACTTACACATGTACACTAGAACTTCTCTTATATATAAAGCAAAAAAATTACACATTGTTCTCACAACGAACAACATGAAATACATATATGATGTACTTGTAAATAAAGTCTATTGTATTCCTTTGCGTCGGGTGATTTTCTTTGCCGTAATAATTTACAGAATTAAAAGGAAAGAATTATAAATAATTTTAAAAAATATATATGTATATGTTTATATACATATATATATACATATATATTTTCTGTTTTTGTGAAAGGTAAAAGGTACTGAAAATTTCTCTTATTGTCTTAAATTGGTCCTGTTTTTCAAGTAAATCAAAGCAACCGTAGATAAACGGCATGTAAAAGTTAAAAACCTGTTAACCAACGATCAGGCTTAAGTTAAATTCCCTTTAAATTTTCTCGCGGGTAACTTTAGCAAAGACGTTCATCGGTTTCTTTCAAGAAATTTTGTATTTTTTTTTTTTTTTTTTTTTGATTTTCACAATTAAAAATGGTAAAATCAAAGTTTCACACGGAAAGCAATAAAAATGGCTAAAGAGAGCCAGCCCCACATTTAAAATCTGAAAGAAGAAGAATTGAATTCCAAGAAAAAAAAGAAGCAAACAACTTTTAACTGCACATATACAGTGTAAAATGTCGGAAGCTTAAAAAAAAAAAAAGAGCAAAACACGGGGATTTTTAAAAGTGTTGTTTTTGCCGCTCATGAGTAGAGTAAATGGTAAAATAAATATTTTTTCATCGCACGTTTCATTTTTGTTTCTTTACTTTTACTTCTTTTTCACTCTTTTTTTTTTTTTTGTATTTTGTTATAAACATTGCTTTTTTCATTCAGAATCAAATATCTTGGATACGTCGTCGAGATTGGCATATACTGTCATCCGGTGCTCAACTTTATACAAATGATGAACGTTTCGCTATACTGCACACACCCGGCTCAAATATGTGGACGTTACAAATAAAGTTTGTGCAGCGACGTGATCACGGCATGTATGAATGTCAGGTGAGTTGATTGCGTGCCCCTATCTATATATGTATATATTTATGTATGTATGTATATATGTATGTATGTATGTATATGTATGCGCGTGACATTTTATAATCTTATTCGTGCTTGCACATTTCATGCGTTTACTTGGAAGAAAAGTTAGATTTTTCAATATCATCTTAAGCACGTCTCAGTGGTCATAAACGAAAATGTTCGTAACGTTAACGTTTTCAGAATAAGTATTTATTTGTAGATATTCACACACAAACTTTATCGTTCTTCTTTTCTTTTTTTTTTTTGCACAACGCAAAGTAATAATAACAACAACAACAACAAAAACAAAATGTACGTTATACATACATACGATGTGTACCCTTATTTTTACTATGATCTTGTTAATATTGGTCACTCACGGAAATCACGAGCTCGGATTAGAAAACAAATTTCGCCTGGATTAAGTAAACTTGACGTTTCATATATTTATTTACAAAAGTTTATAAATAAAAATTTTGCTTTTTATACGAAAATGAAATTCCCCAAAAACAACATTTTGCTTTAATTAGCTCATTAGGATTCCATTTGTTTGAGCAATCAAGCTTATGTCTGACTTGTGGTGTTGGATTACAACTAAAAGTAAAGTTTTTTTAGACCAAAGTAATTATCAATTATTACTTGAATGCTTAAGTGAAACATTGCTAATTAAGCTTTGGATTTCATCATCAATTATGGAATGGTCGGGCAAGGGCGTAAGTTAAATACCATATATTAAATATCGTATATTAGATCGCCTAATAAAAGCGCTCACCTATTTGGATCAAAAAGTACTGGAAATTACATTTTTTTGCGGTCCGAAAATTCGATCTATAATTTCACGTTAAAATTAACTATACCAAACTTGAACCACCTAGGTCCATTTTCAAACTCTACATCCCATAAGTACTCCAATCAAAACTAAGCTTTTACATGGCAACAAAGTCTAAGAAAATTAATTTTACTCCATTTGAGCCGCACCGCTTCACCATTTGGGCTACGTTAGGTAAATAACAAAAAAACGTCCTTTTCTTCTACACAAACAAGGAGAATAGAAATTCCCCACCTTTAGTTCCTAATGCTCCCACTACGAATGATGTATGCTCGGCAGCAGTACCTTCACGGAAAGCAAAATTTATTGTCAGGGCTTGCACTGGATACCTCCTATGATAATGTAAAAAGTAAGCTTCCTGTAAAAGTCCAAGTATTTTTAAATCGACTTCACCTCAACCAAGAACTGTCTCTTTTTTTTAAATTTTAATTTTGACTGAAAACATGAAAATTTGGTTAAAGTTTCAAGCCTTAAAATATTAATTCTGTAGAGTCTTCACCCACGAAAAACTGAATGTTTTTGCAGGTCCATAATTATCATTCATCAAAATATTATAACCCTGACCTCCAAACTTACTTATATTTAGGGTCGATTTAGAAACATTCTCGAAATCTGTCCGTCTGACATCGGTCTACGTAAATTTGTGTTCAAGCTGCATGTCACAATTTTTGAGATATTTTGACATATTTTTGTTCAAGGTTCGACCTTTCCTCGTATAACGACTTATTCTGAGAAGTCCGGGAAAAATTATAATTTTCAAAATTTCTCGTCCAAAATGGATAAATAGTAATATTTGAGCATGTCAAATTGGCGTGAAAATTTTGGACAAGTTGGGGGCAATTTTTTGCACCCACTCTCGTATAACCGTTCCTACGGAGAGACTGAACCTTTGTACGGTAAAATTGTCTAACTATCAATATTTACATGGTGAAAATTGGTTCATAATAATAAATTGATATAGAAATCAACCCTACCTCAATTAGGGCATGAATTACCATTTTTTGGATGCCATCACATTCTGGGAAAGGTAATCCCTTACATGCCTAAAAAGCCCAATTTTTACTGTTTTGTAACTAAAATTGTTCACAGTAGGAATTTAATGTAAAGATTGAATGGATCAAATTTGAAGCACATGGATTTATTTCTTGGACGCCAGGCCATTTAAGATTTCTCATGAATCGTAAGCTCTTTAGAAAAAAAAGTTTAACTTTTAATAATTTGAGATGAAATTTAGTCCTTAGTAGCAATATATTTAAAAAAATTAATCGTAGGGAATTCGGATCACGTAGGTCTCTTTTACAGACCCCAACATATATAGGAGTTGTGCTCTTATAATATGGTGTTTGAAACTGAAAATAATAGCTTTAGCTTAATAAATTTGAGTCATGCCATTTGATATTTGGAGCAAGCTTCGATATGCGGGATTCCATGAAAAGAATGGCTTTGCACTAAAATTATGTGTATAATTAATAAGGAAAAATTGTGTTAGCCGAAGTGGTGTAGGATAGGGACCGGCCTTGCCTTGAATAGCGGGAAAATATGCGTTACTGTCTACAAGTCTCGGAAAACCGAGATCGCGAAGATTATGAAATTCGTTTAATACCTCAAAATTAAAGTTTAAATTTAAAGACAGACGAAGACTGAGCCAATGCATTGAACGTGCATGGGATGCTGGCGCATTAAATTTTCTGATATTTATATTCAATTTTCTAAAAAGAATTTTTTTCATCTGCGTAAAATCATCAAACTGATCTTGGTGAGTAGTTGGTGTTTACATAGATTTAGGATTTGAAAATTCATCGGTATAGCTTCCGATGGAAGCGTATTTGACAAAACAAATTCCGTCAGTTTCGGCATAAGACTCTTAGGGCATTCTAGAGTATGTTAGCGCTTATCAGGATTGACACTAATTTATGTTGATGATGTACCTTTGCCACTTGATACTAAAATGTTTTACGCAAAATGGAAACACAAAATTTTGTCAGTGTAATTTCAATACAACAACCGACAAAGTGTTGGAATTTTATTGGCCTTTCCTATTACATTAAATTGATGGTTTAAATGAACAACAAAATTGGTTATCCCAAATAAACAACTTTGCTTCGCACGAAACCATTGAACGTTGAACTTGTTTGTATGTTATTGCGTAGCGACGCTTTCCGAAGGACAGAATACTCACCGGGCAAAACAAGCTATCATGAAGCTTAAGCAAGTTCAATTAAGTCTCGTCCAAAACAAAGCAATGAATATATACATAACGCTTATCTGCTACCCTCTCGAAAATTAGGTCAACAGAATAGTTGTATATCTTAGAAATATACCAGTGACAAACAAAAATGTTCATATTAACGTTTAAATATATATGTTAATGTCTATGAGAATTGCAGGATTACAAAGCTTTAAGTAAACAACTTCATGCTCGTAAGTATTTAAAAATTCTTATTAAAGCTGCATAACCCACGATTTATTAACTGTTTGTAGGTTTTCAGCTTTCACTTTTGCGTTTCGATTCCCAAACAATCAATAGAACATTTTTCATTAACGTATATAAGCAGATTTGTGTCGGCACATGGCTGCTAATGTTTTGTGATACGTGAGCAAAGACTAAAGATGTTATAAGTCCCCTGCAACACTTTGCTTAATTATCACATGCGTGCAGCTTTTCATACTCCACGACACTTGCATCCTCTTCTATGAGCACCTTGAGATGGATCCATCATTTATTACAACAATCGATCCAGGAAATGATTCGCACGAACAAATTATTTAAACCGGTCTATTTGTCTCATATCTTTGCATTTAATTAATGCCCAACGTGGAGATGGCAATTTTCGAAAGGTTTTGATGAAATTTGCATGCGCTATATATTGTTACGAAATTCACTTTTCTCGGATACGGTTCGTATCTCTAGATCGTGGATAGTGTTTTTAAGAGAAGTACGATAGCACGTTTTCAATTCAAGGTTCTTTTGAGGGTCGGATTATTTACACGTCACTTTGGCGATACTCTCGACTTCTCAACTAACTCTAATATTCTTTTTCGACTCAAATATTCTTGTCCGACTGACTATCACTTTTACCTAAGTTCGTGGCTTCATTTTTAATCCGCTAATCGGTTTCCTCTAGCGAATTTATTTTCTGGGAAAATCAATTAGTTGGAATGAACTGGATTTAGGATGAAAGTATTTTAGCATACTAATGGTAGCAGCTTTCGAAGTGCTTGCCACGTAAACTTTTACACGACAAAAATATCTAATTTGTAGAAATGTACTAAGAGTACTTTTGTCGATTGCTCTTCCCATAAAAGAGTTGTCATCGAAAGCAACCCTTTAAATGGAAGCTCGCTCTAACTTTCGGTGTCTAGTTGACTATTCCTTTATTACGCGTCCATAACCATAGATAAATGTTTTAAGATCAGAAATGCGTTATTGTTAAAAAGTTAGCTTTTCAGATAAAGGAAGCAAGCAAGTTCAGGGTATAGGCAAACGGCGGCGTAGAAAGCGCTATGCACTTCTAACTTTAGTATCGAAGGGGTATGCTCTTCTTATGCAGCGATAAAATACAGATTTTCTCTGAAAGGTATCTTATTACGAAACCCCAAACTCTTCTGCTAGAGAGCGTACGGTTCTACGGTAAATCGATTGGCGTCATTCTAGGTTCATGTCTCGGAGGGGTACTACATAACTGACGTCGTTAAATGTTTGATGAATGAAGCATGTCCAAGAAAGCTATTCTGATTTTGATGACATCCAAAATATAGCTTAAGTAAGTTAATCGGCTAAAGTTATTTCTATTTCCACTTCTTAAGGTTTATTTAATCCGTTGGAAAAAATGGAGCAATTCGTCTCGCTCTTCCAATATTCCTTTGGCTACTTAGTGCTACTAAAGGATGCAAATCTCCATTCTCGTAAGTGGTAATTGAGGCGAGCAAGTGAACCTATTCGTGGAGCACCCCGGATTGCACTCGTCTCTACGTACGCTCTCAACATGAGGCCTGCAGTAGCGAAATTATCTCTTCGATGATAATTGTGGTTGAAAGCCGTGGTCTTTGAACGCTGGACGATGTTCGCGGCACACTTGCCTATGCAAACAATCACTTGGGTTTGGCTTATGCAAGCGCCACGTATAGTTGCTTTTAACATGCAAGCACGAGTATCAGTCGATTTTCAACCGTCATAACTTTCGGTCGTTTAATTAACAAATACTTTTGTTCGTTTGACTTCCGAAGCAACATCAAAAAAAAGAAATCACGCGAACTTTTCATTCGCCTTTCATTCTCGCTATTTTTTTTTTTTTTTTTTTACTTTAATAGCAAAAATATTAATCTAAATATCTTACATAATACAAGATCCCGCTATTTGACTATATCAGTGAGTGTAAACGTTTTTGCGGAGTATGAGATATGTATGCACGTGATGAGTGGACAACAATTTTTCTTCAGATTAGCATATACCCCTACATATGCCCAGTGGTATGTGTAAATAATCGAAGAGAAGCGGCTTTTTTTCTGCTTATATACGTAGGTATCGTGTCTCTACGTATTGTACATATTCGCAGACAAGAAGTCAGACCACTATGCGTATCTGACATTTTTGTCTTTGCTAAAAGGCGAGCTGTCTTTAAACTTGGCTTCACCTTCTACTAAGGTAGCGTTCTAAACGCATAACAAAATGATGAAAAAAACTAAACAGGCTTGGAGAATACAAACATAAATAAAGAACGAAAAAAATCGAAGAAAAATTTAATTTTACTATTTACCATACACACAGTGTATGGATGCAAGCGGCAAAAAGCTAAATATGTGCATTAATTTCAGATAAATCAGGTTGAAGCGCAAGAAGATGGAGAGGTAGGTCGCCTTGCTTTTCTTTACATGCAAATCTTTTCTTCACATACCAGCCAACAATGCCATAGCTGGAATGAAAAGCAAGCGTCGGCCGCCATACATTCACCTAAGTCTTTGGCATCTAAAACGATATTAGATTTCTCCAATACCCTTCAGCGTCCTTTAAGGCGTATCAAAAAATTTGGGGTAGTGTTATCTATCTGAAAATAGTAAACTCGATTTGTTCATTGCAGTCTTTAAGTGCTTGTAGAGTGTGAGAGCTATTTTTGCCCAAAGCTGGTACTGGGGTAGCCCAGCAGCGCCAGATTTGCTGTTCACAAGAAATTTCTTTGCTTTTTTGTTCTTTGGATCAAATATCGTAGGGCCAACTTACTTTTTCTAACTTACTCTCGTACTGACTAACCTGACCAAACTTCGGCTTATTCTCAACTTCTTGTGATTTCTCTTTACTCTAATTTCTCTTTACTTAATCCTAACTCTCTTAGCCTAATTTACTCTAGCACTCCCTCCTCCAAGACGAAGAACCTGTGAGGCAAAAACGAGGGACGACTTTAGTTCCCCACAAGAGTAACTGTGCATGCCAGCTTTTTGATTCCCTGATCAATAGACAAAGGTTTGGGTGGTTTTATATCCTCGTGCTATCTACGAATTTCATTTATTTTAAATAGAAACTTAGCAAAGACCGTTTTAGCATGGACACAACTCCAAAAAAAAAAATGGCGTCTTTTTTGGTGGCTTACATTTTTAGCTTAGTATATATTCTTGTGTCTGTGTTATACGGGCATCTTTATTAAAACGTATAAAACAGTTAACTTGACAGGTCTGTCAGGAAAGCAACCCATCTTCAATGAACATGCATATAAATAAGTGAGTGTGTACGTGAATGCACGTTTGTAATATGCGAGGAAAGAAAACTTATTCCTGCTTGAATATGATACCAAAGAGAGCCCTTTTTGATAGGATACAAAGAAGGTTAAAATATTGAATTCTTTTAATAAATCATATGGGAAGTAATGTATAACTCAGTAATATACATAAGTTGGACATGGAAGGATTTAGAACATATGCACATGTATATATTATTTTGTTTTTGTTTTTTTGTTTTTTTTTTCTTTTCTTGGTGAAAAAGTAAAAAAGTATTTGTGCATTAAATTAATCTCGATGAGCATGTACAGACAAGCTCAAGGTATAGACAAGACAATGGACTGACTACCTGAACAACTTGCATAAGCTGCGAATGTTTTTAAGGGAGGCGGGGGAACGTTGTAATACGATTTTTCAAATTTCATCCAACCAAACGAACAAATGAACATGAACTGTAAGTCATACAGATTTGCAAGCAAGCACAGCAGTAATAGAATTCTGCAGTCCGTGCTTTCGCATGACATATTAAACTAACTTTTGCCAGTTTCAAATTATGTAAACATAAGTTTATAGGGGTGCATCTCTGCTTGCTCAGAAACGTGCGTAGAGAAGCATATGCAAATATATTCACAAGCATACCGAACTGAAATTCATATGTGAATTTGAAAATAAGTATGTGTTGATGCAGAGCCAACAATTACGGTTAACTGAAAAATAGGAAAATTTTTATTTGTCTTATGACGAATTTCCGTTACCCAGCATCTCGGCCTAACTTGGAATTGCAAAATATATGAGTCAGTACCACGACGTTATTTAGACTCTTTGCCCAGGGGTATGTTTTCTTTCAATCCACCTCTTGTCAGCTTTCAAATTCTTGGCCTTTCTAGGCAGGTAAGGACAATTTTCTTATTAGAATTTTTTTTTTTTTTTGCATACAAAATTGTTATGCGGACAGTAGCTAACAGTGTACATGCCAAGTTTCAGCTGCTCGGAGTGCTGGCAATCGCCAGCGGACGTTAACATGGACAGACAGACATGATCAAATGGACTCGATAGCCTTGCAGTCATAGACAATATGTAGTTTACTGGATTTTTTGATGCGTATTTTTCTAAATGCTTCTAATGGAAATGAGGATCTTCTCTATACCCCGGTCGTTCCTTCCTGTCTACGTGTGTTGTTAAAGATAATCCTATTATAGAATAAGTTTCTTCCGTTTGTTTTCTTTTTCTATTCTTGTTGGGGCTTTACAATGTACACTTTTTGTAAGCTAAACTAAGCAAATATATCGGCAGACGAACAACAGAAAGACAAGCAAATAAACAAATAGTTTTTTTATTTAATTTTTCATTTGTTTCAATTTCATTGTAAACATTTTAATATATTTGAGCACAAAAACAAAACATGCCAACTCACACAAACGAATGAAGGTATCTGCGTATGTGCATATTTGTGTTATATCCTTGCTTGCACATATGTGTACAAACATTTTTTTGTTTATTTTTTCTATGCTGGTACTGTCTCCTATACTAATATATATATATATATATATATATATATATATGTGATTGCGAAAGGCGATGCTCTCAAAAGAGGGAGGGTAAGCAAAATTAAAATCATCCTTTTTACAACAAACGGATTTTTATAGAAATCTTTCGAACGATAGAGTAAAAAAAGAACATGCATAATATAAATTTAGAACAAATTTGGGCCACAATGACACTTTTCTCTGCTCTGCTTATGCTTTTGCTTTTAACATTGAAAAGAAAATATATTTGCGATTGCAAATATTGAGGACAAAATTTGTGTAATTTTTTAAAGGACAAATATTCAAATTTGACCTGACCCTAGGACGACGAGTACGTATTTCTTATTTACTTATATCATATAATTAAGTGAACTATGATCAGTGAACTTACAAAAATGTTATTAAATCTTATTTGCTTTTCTTTTCATTTTCTAGGTGTCTACGCCCACAGGCATCATTTCGCATTTTGTTAATCTTCAAGTGGTTGTGCCGGAAGCTTTCATTTTGGGCTCTGGTGAATTGCACGTTGATATGGGATCAACAATTAATTTGGTTTGCATTATAGAAAAGGTAATTACGCACGATTTCATCATTTCATTATAAACGACAGTACTCTCCCTTTAACATGAAGATGAATAAATAATGATAAGAATTTCTAAAAAAATAAATAAATAAAAACTGTAGCACACCTTGAGGGCTAATAATAAATTTTGACTAGCTCGCCTAAATTCGGGTGGCTCAACAACAGAAATTTACCCCATAGAATTGTTGTGAGTGGAGGTGTAGTGTAAACTTACCTCGCCAGTCAGTGTCATAAAAAACAAATTAATTAATAAACATTATAATAATTATATTATATAATATGACTTATAAATTATTAATAGGAATTAAGTTATCGCATAAATAACTGTATTAATTAACAAACAATGAAATTTAACTCACCGATCTAAATAAAGGTCGTGTTAATAACTAAATTCAATTTTCGTTTACACTTTAAACCTCATTCTTTTCCTTTGTGTTCAGTCAAATTATTATTTTTACGCCTTCCATGTACATGTTGTATGCGTTTAATCCCTGAAGGTTTAACTCTTTTGTTTTTTTATCTATTTAAAAAAGTACTTATGACAATAATTATTATTTTGTGAGTTTTGTTACCCTTGTTTGAGAACCTTTCACCATTTATCAGCAAATTTCATCACTTCTTGTCCAATTAATTGGGGTTAAGCGTAACTCTTCTTCCAATATAATCGGACGAATCTGATCCATTTTGGATGCTCACGTATTTCCTCTTTTCAACTCTCAAAGATTCTGAAGACCTGTTTATACGTTTTGTTCATTAGGAAAAATAAAATATTTTGTTATTAGCGGTATAACAAGCTTCACAATAATTTGAATTTTTCAACAGCCTTTGGTGTACGTGAGAATGCAATGACTCATCCTCCCGTTGAAACAACAATCTTTTCACCTGAGGTACGTTCAATAACGCTTCGCAAAGTTTTCACAACCACTCCCCCATTTGTTTTTCTTTTCAGGCTCTTTCATGGCCGAAGTCTTCGCAGTTTAATAATTTGATCTCGTGGAAATTTGAAAATCAATCTTATGTCCCGACACACTTGACGGCTTTTACAAAACTATCTAAAAAAATTTCAAAAAATTTCATTTCTTTTTTAAAAAGAAAAACGATCGCTTACTCTTACTTACGCTCTTTACTATCTGTGACTAGTCCAGTAGCACCCTTTACAAGTCTATTCGGTATATCGATGTTAGATCGTAGCATTATTTGAGCTTCTATAAATATGCCTAGCTGCTAGACCTTCTGGTCTGATTGCTGTTAGCTGGTAACACTTCACTTAGACTAAAATTGTTTGTGTGATTGTATCTATTAGTTGGTTTTGTTTAGGTGTCCTGTACATAGCTGTTTCCTGCACTATCCTGCACCAATGTAATCATTGTTAATACGCTCCATTAAGGCCGGTATAAGTCTGATTTTCACTTCTCCAACTCTCAGAGCATTTAAAATATTAATAAAGATGGTCTCGCCCTTGCCTCATATTTCAGTTTCAGTTCCACCTGAGCAAATATACTTCATAACCTTACTTACTGGTGGCAATTGCATTAAATCGACGATTAATATGACATTCATGCCATCGCAGAACTCGTCATAATTTTTTTGTTGTTTAAAAGATGACTCGACTCGATCCTGCAAAGCACTTCATAAGGAAGCTTGGATATTTCAACGATGAACAAGAATATAATTAGTTCGCATGATCGTCATGAAGTTGCCAGTTAACAATAGCATCTGTGTGATTCTTCCAGCTTTCTGTACTTTACTGGCAATTTAAATGTACTATGAAATGTTGAACAGTAACACCTGTCAATGTCGATATTTTCACAGCTTGTTTGGCATACAAGTGACTAATATGATTTCTTTAGCATAATTAACGCGAAGGCTTTTCCTGTTCCAACCTTTCCAGGTATGAAGAGTTTTAGAGGATTTTTATAACCATTCATTTGTTCCTGAGCACGACGAGTCACTGTATTCCTCTCCTATCTACGTTTCTTTGCCTTTTTCGATTTTATGAACTTGACTAATACTTCTCAAATTAGATCCAAACCAATGGACCGTGAATTTGCAATAGCTTAGATGTTAATTTGTATATATAGGCGAACTCCTTATTTGAAGGATTTTCTTCCAGCCGTCACAAGCGGCCATTTCAGTCTGCTATTGTTATTAATCCTCTAAAGCGCTGGATTTCTCGATTTATTTCTCTTGAACCTTTCACTTGCTAGGCTTTCCGAGAAGTTTTGTTAACCTTCGTAATTTAATAATTGCCGGCAGTATAGGATGCATTTAGCTTCCCATTTAATTTTTCTAACTTTTCTTTATGACGGTCGCAATTTCCTTCTTCCGCCGTTTCATACGTTGTCATCGTAAGCGAAGCTGCGTGCAACTTCTCAGCAACGTCAGACGGTCGCAAGTGCCCGCGAAAGTTTACTTGTTAAAAAAACGAGCAATATAAAGGAAAGAAATGACAACGAAAAAATACATATACCCTTATATATATACCCTTTATATATATATATATATACCCCTTGTGCCTTTATTACGCACTTCAGCAGCGCTGCTACACTATCATATGCTTAAGAGCTGAAATCGTACTACTGGATACGAGGCGATAAACCCGGAGATTTTTACAATTACAAGACTTGTGCTTTAAAACCAGGTCTGGTCTTATATAATATAAAAAGGACGCTTATCCGGTATACTGCCATCAAGTTTGCTTCAAGAAATTTTCGGTTGTTGGTATAACATATGAAAATGAAAAGAAAGCAATATTAACATATGAGGTTGCTTAAGACTCTGTCGCGTAGTCTCTTATCATTTTTCATCCATTCTTTTTTTAACATAGACCTGGGAGTAATAAATAACCCAATGAACACAAAATGTTGCATTCACCAAAAGAAAGTTGTCATATTATCGCATTGGGAACATTTGTTTTAATATCTAACTCATCTCTATCAATATATTAAGTTTAAAGGCACGGCTTTTTTTTTTGTTTTCTTTTAGAGTCCTACGCCACCGCAATATGTTTACTGGCAGAAGAACGATCGATTAATAAATTATTATGATTCACGACGTGATATTTCTATCGAAACGACACCGGGCCCACGGACACAAAGTCGATTAATTATACGAGAGCCTCAAATATCCGATTCAGGCAATTATACATGCTCGGCAAGCAATACAGAGCCAGCGAGTATATACGTTTTTGTATCGAAAGGTGAGTAGAATTTGAGTAAGAATTTTAAATGGAAATGAAATGGAATTTTAATGAAGTGAGTAAAGATATCTGTTAGCTTGAATTTTCGTTTGCTTTTCTAAAGAAGCCGTTTCGAGCTATATAATTGAAATAAATTTCCAAGGAATACCATACAACATCTTTTGTAAAAAACCTGTGAAAGCTCATATTATCTTCTTACTTGTATTAAATAATTGTAGGGAAATAATAAATAGTATCTGCTGACAAGAAATCGAAAGCACACTCTCATTTACACTTTAACGCTTTTATATTTAGGTTTGATATGGCCAAGTGAGGATTCCGTCTAGAGAAGAACACTTAGGCTGATTTAAGGTTCGCCTTCCGTTCTGCTTTCAAACCCTTTCCTTATACTTTCCCACGCCCTTCGGTTTCCAGCCTTCCTTTGAATATTTTTAATATTTAGATACTCGTCGTTGGTAAGTTTTTATTCATACGCTGAACGCGATAGACTAAAGTCGCCCAGTGCGATTTTGTTCATTCCCTTTGTATCCACCACGTTATACGCCCCGGAGGACTTTTTTGGCAATCATTTTCTAGTTTTTTTCTCTTTTAAATCCTCTTTTTTGTTGTTCTGGGCAACAAGCATTTTCTGCGATCTGTTAATAAGAAAATGAACCGCATCTAAAATTGGCCAAAGCGAACGCAAAGTTTCAATATACAGTGGATTGTTTCGATAAACATTTCAATTTAATAGCTTTCGAACTTGTTGGTCCTTGTACCCATGTTCCATGTTAAAACGCGCAATAAGGTCAAATTTTTGACATTTGACAGATGACAGTAGTCCCCTGTAAATTAAATGAGTTCATTCGTTTTAATATTTTTAATAAAGGAAGAAAGCTTTCCCATAGCACACGCAGCAAAGGAAGCAGAGAAAATACCGAGTTTATCGAGTCGGTGGAAAAAATGAATTTTCCTTTAAGATGTCTAAACAGAACATATGCTATACAATTTTCTTACACTTTCGTGTTAGATTTCTGAATACAATTTAAATGCTTTTGACGTTGACATACATTGGGTTATCAATTAAAATTTTTCTTGTAGTTAATGATTTCTTTTTGAAAATTAATTTGCTAACAATAGTGAGCATTGAATATCAGAAAGTAAGAAAATTGCATTCGTTTGTCGCCCATCACATTACTCTCAAAAAAAATCGCAGTTTACGTATGAAGAGCAGAAAACAAATTTTGTTTTTTTTTTGTTGCTTTTTAACCCACTAGGAATTCTCGCGTAAGAGCTTTGAGTCCTTTTGCCAAATGTTGAAGCGGATACTTACATTTTTACGACCTGGACAGACGGACAGATAGACATGTTTAAATTGATTCAGCATTGTATAACGATCAAGCGCTTTGCATAGTCTCTGGAAATTCGTTCAGGAACCCATACCCTTTCATATCATTCGGTGATAGGTATAAAGAGGAGAAAATTTATCCTTCAAAAGGAGACAAATATTTAAGCGAAGTTAATACGCAATCAAATGAATTTTTTGCTTTAGCATTAGGCTAATAAATCAATCGATTCGCATCCTTTAGTTATTGCCTTTTATTTTTACATTTTCTTTCTCAGTGAATGTTGCTCCGAAAGAACATTACTATTGACGACCTGACCCATGTACTAAAGCAAATGTCCTCAATTTCAATAAATTGCTTAGAGTAAGTGAGTGCTGATCATCGAACTTTATTCTAAGATAAGTAAATTATATTGAAAAGCGACAAGCATAGTCCCTGTATGTTGTTCAACTATGTAGTAATCTTGGAAAAAATGTAAGCCACCTCATCCACTCAATAGCTAACTACCCGCAAATAAAAAGCACAGAGTACACCCATCAGAATTCCATTCCAAGGCTTCTTTACTTGTTCTTGCTTTCGCTTGGCTTATTAATTGGAAAAATGATGTGTTTCGCTAGGCACATAACATATGTATTCGACCACAAACCGATGACAGAAGAATTCCTTTTTTCTCATCTTATCTGCTTTATAAAGTAAAAATTCATTTTTAAAATTTTTTTTAATATTTTGTAAAATTTTCTTTCAACAGGTGATAATATGGCTGCCATATCCAGGAGAAAAACATCATCGGCCGATCGCCTAGCGGCAATATTTATGCATGTTGTGGCACCGTGCATTTTAGTAAATACGTTAGTAATGCGGTATGTTTTTGTAAATGAAAAATTTTAAAACATTAAATATATTTTTATATTCGTTTTTTTTTTTTTGTTTTGTTATTTCTCTTTTTCGCTAATTGCAGACATATTTACTTAACTTAAGACTATCCGAAGACCAGTAGTAATATATATCATCAATCAAATATTATGCCAGCAAACACTTTGTTTTCTTCCTCCCCTAATGTACTTATGAAACATCGTTAGTGTTATTTTACAAAATTAGAGAAGAAAAAACAAAAACATCATTAAACTTTATTTTAATTAAATTAAACTTTGAGACAGCAGAGCAAAGTGTGACATACAATATGTATATGTTATGTGTGCATGTTTGTAAGTCGTTAGTGTAATTGCTTTTAAGCGCATTTCGAAAGAAATGATGATTACTTCTTCTCTTCGTCTTCTTCTAATGCAACTCGAACTTCTTTTTGAGCACGGAATGGCTTTCATTATCAATCGAGCGAGTAGTACAGTGAATTTTCAAGCAACATTTTGCAACATTAACTTTACCTTGTTTGACTGTTAGCACCTTGTTTACAGCGAATGCTAAGCGAATCGAAACATTTCCTTCTAAAACTGATAATCTTTAAACAAGATTTTCTTTACATTTTTCGCAAAAAAACTATACATAATTGAAAATAACATCTTCGCTGCGTTGTTCTCTCGTATTGAATAAAGTTACAAGATTGTATTTAAAGCTTTTGCTTTCACAAAAACAACTATATGATTAAAAATTCGACGCACTTCCAATGGCTCAGCCAAGCAGGAGCACTTCTATGCATACATATACGTATATATACATGTAATACATACCTGTAGGTATACAATATATATATATATATATACATATGTGTATATACATATCTGCCTTCGACATTAAACGCACATAATCACATTTGTTTTCCATCCGCTAAGCTTCAAGCTAGAAAATTTCCTTTCCATGTTCCTTTATGTTATCCGCCCACCACCACCGCAGCACATTTCAGTATCGTCTTGTTGGCATTTACATGCTATACAATCAATGCCGACCATACAAAGTTTACAAATGCGCCAGAATATCGTTCGGTCTGTTGAAAGATTTTTCAAAATGCACCGAATTTCATTGAATGACCATTAAAGAAGTGCATTGTCGGGTTGTTAGCGGAAACACGATTGCGAAGATAGCAAAGATTATATTATCGAGAAAAATTCTATTAGGCTATGTGTGTGTTTCGTAATGAGGAGTATTGCTGATTAGAGAAACAACCAACAGAACGCCCAGAGTATTTACACATTTCCATTAGTGAGTGAATCTAATTACCGTACGTTACTGGAATTAACCGAAATTGACAGCAGCGCATAGGCATTTTGTCTTTAAAGTCATGCTATGCTTAATGTTGTCATGTTTCTCATCTATTTCCTGATAATGAAACAACAACAATGAAAACAACAAAAAATACTTGTTCCTTAATAAGTTAAGTTCCCTTAAACTAAGTTTAGTTTTTCTTAATATAACTACCAGTCTTTCAGTGTCTTCCGTAGTAAGCCTCTTAGATTTGCTTATATCAATATGTCTGTGCCACTTATGGGAAATTAAATTTTGATCATTCAATAAAAGCCCTTAAAAAAATCGTGAAAGCAGTCAAAGGCAAAAAAGTTCCGGATGAGATTACATGGGCAACATATTTTCAGTTATTGAGCTCAGCAAGTCCTTGCAAATGGATTTTACGAATTAAGCGGCGACATATTCTTTATTCTGGAGCATACAATTATTTACATTGCTCAACTAAGGTAAAGAACGCTTGGTTGCCCGCCCCTGCCATCCATACATAGGACTTAACGAGTAAAGGGATTTATTCTAATCTCAATCTATTGCTTTGCTTTTGCTTTTTTTTTTTTTTTGTTTATCTATCATTCCCTTTTGTAAATTAGTTGATGACAGTAAATACTCTACTATCTACATTCATGCATACATAAAGGATTTCACAAAAAATGTTTTATAATTTTATTGCAGTGTAAATAGTAGGAAAGAGTTTAAAAAAATTAAAATCACCAAAAAAAAAAAAAACAGTTCACAAAACGAAACTGGAATGAAATTCGAAAGAAGAAATGAGAAAAGAAAAATTATTTTCGCTTGAGAGCGAATTTTTGATACCACCACCATCACCATCACCACCACTACCACTACCACTACCAACAAATTAAGATGTGTAAATAAAAGAGAAAAAAAAAAGCAAAGGCATTCCGTTAATTATGGGCAAGACTCGAAGATTCAAAGCCTTTTTTTTCTAACCCTTCGGTAATATTCGTATTCAAACTAAAATCTTTAGGCTGCCACGAACTGCCACGATTGTGATGAGTCTTTGCGGATTTTTTGCGGCTTTCCCAGGAAGACGGAGAAGGGATATTTCAAAACTTTCGATCTTCCATTTCGATTGTTAAGCAAGAACAGACGCACATTAAGTCTGGCCGGCATTTCTGCATAGTGCAAGTAAGAGCATAAATGCTGTAAGTCGTATATCAAATATTTGTGTGATGGTGTGTAAAAAAAAAAAAAAAAAATTGCATATAAATCAATATGTATCAGTGATTGTTTGTATATAAATAGATCTAATACTTTTTATATGTATATTTAAATTGTTTTTTGTTATTGTTTTTTTTTTTTTTCTATAGCTTCTAAAATCTAAAAACAGATAAAAATATGTTATGTGTTATGCTTTTGTTACTAAAGATAAATTGTGTACAAACTGAATACTAAATATTTATTTTTAAGATAAAAATCGTAATAAAAATTCAAAATATTACTTATATCTATATACATGAAGATATGTATATATATGTATACATATGTGTATATATATATATACAGATTTACATATATATATATATATATATATATATACAGATTTATATATATATGTATATATATATATATATATATGGATATACGTATAAATGTAAAAGGTAGATATGTTTACTGCATACTACATTTAATCCCCTTCGAAACTGTACACTTGTAGTTGACACAACGTTATTAAGGAAAAGAGTAAAGGCAAAGAAAACCGCAAACTTCAAATATTTTAAATATTGTAAATTACTTACTTAAATATATTAATTCATGTGAATGAACGACATTTACTCTGGTTTATACATTGTTCCTTCTTCTAGCCACCAGAATTTCAAAAAAAAGAAAAGCAAAACATTTTTAAATAGATATGCAAGGACATGCACAGGTACATGGTAAAAATTTTTGTTGTATAGCTACTGATTACAGCAGAAGCTAAGTGTAGCCCATGGAACTTGATTACAATCAAACAATCATATTGGATTGGATCGCTTGACTAGAATTCACTTGCTCTGTTATACTACAAGATAGCCTACTAAAGCAAGCATTGACTTACTTAGATTAGAAGCAAAAAGTTAAGTTAAGATTACTTTGATAATTTCCAAAACATTTTCATATAAATACCGCCTTAGGTACATTACATACCGCAAGAGTGATGAATTACTTCAATTGCGAATACTGTCCTCATCAAACCAAGAAAAGAAATCTATTCTAATATCTTTTCCGTTCAGCATTATACATAGTCGCTTCCGGATGTCAAATGCAAATTCTATACCAAAAAACTTTAAAAGGACAAATGGATGAAAAGATAGACATACGTAAAATAATATTTGAATATTAAATGCATTTCGACTACGAATAATTTATATATGGATATGAGAATTATATAAATTATTTATATTATAATATAATTGCTAACCAATGAAAACAAATTTATGTACATCTCATTGTTCAATACGCGTTATTGAGATAATATCATGTCATACTCTTGCAGTGTTCGCATTCAGTTTCACTGGCTTCCTCTCAAGTCTCAATAAGGAGGCCGGAAGTCTCAAATAACATAATAAGATTAACTTTCATCAAATTTATTCTTATAGTCAGTCATATTTTGAGTAACTTTGTAGAGACGTCGCTAGCATTTTTTTTACGGACTGTTCGAGGCTGATAAGCGTTTCTTTGTAACGAAAATGATATGTAAAAGTATGATTGCACTAATGCTCCGGATTATCAAATCAGATAGAAGTCGCCCAAATTATGACAAGAACATGCATTGTCAGCTCTTGTGACTATCATTGTCACAAATTATGACAAGAATATGCTTTGTAGGCTCTTATGACTAGCACTGTCACAATTTGTGACAAGAACATGCATTGTCAACTCTTATGATTAGTATTGTCACAAATTGCGACAAGAATATGCTTTGTAGGCTCTTATGACTAGCATTGTCATAAATTGTGACAAGAGCTTGCATTGTCAGCTCTTGTGACTAG